ACGCCGACAATAAACACAATGACACGAGGTGAGTTTAGAAAACGTTACTGTACATGTATTACATTTTCAAAAGTCCTGTTTTATTGGATAAAGTCAGTGTCGCGAACGAGTATAAGCTCCAAAGGCTTATGTCGAATTACGACTTGTGGATGGCGCTCCTGCAACGTTAAATATCTGGCTCTTATTGCAACGTAAGCATCATTTTAGCAACGTTAGGCATAAAATCGTACTTGCACGAGCACTTTAGGTAAGACTTTGGATTTCGGGATGCAAATCTTCAAACTTGGAGGTGTGGCAGGAATTTTATCGCCCAACCTAAACCCAACCCAAACCTTCTCGGGTATTAACCCTATAGGGCCGAGCGGGCTGGGTTTAAGCCCGCGTGCTTCGCATCAAAATAGCAATTGCGATTTTTGACCAATTAAAGTCAGAAGTGCACGAAAGACTCTAAAATGCAACCCTGACCCGACTTGTCAGATTATATCGACTTTTCCGTGCCGCAGCCGAGCTTTACAAATTTCCCGCCTCCTAACCTTGCAGCGTGTCTGTCCGTCTGTCAATAAGTCCGTCGTTTTCCTTTCTTACTGCTTTTTCCTGCCTTTTCGCATGGCTACACTCGGCCTTTCTAATACAGTTTCTTCCCATCGTACCGACCGCGCCTACCTTTCTGACTCGAACTAACTATGCCAAAATTACAAATATATCCAAAAGCGGACACAATTAACTCGCGCCCTGATTGGGCAATACCTGCCGACCTGCGACACTGACTGGATCTGTCGCACGATCAGACCGTCTATCGCCCTCGCGATTGGACGTAAGGTAAACATTTCTGCCGAGCACGAAACGCATCGATTGGTTGCAAACAGCTAGGCGAGCTGCGCAGATACTTGATTATTGACATTCAGCTACGCAAATCCTGTCGTATGTACTGCAAATTGGGCACAGTAACCACTTTATTTTCTAAGAGCTCTACACACTTCTCAAATAGAGATATTTATACTTATTTATGTAGACTTCACAGACCGGTATTCTGTAAGAGCTCTGGGATGTTATTTTCCACACACTTTTCAAAGTAAAGACGATATTAATAGTACTAATATTATTAATATACGCTTCACAGGCCGCATTTGTAAGAGCTCGGCGATGCTATTCTCCACAGACTTTCTAAAGTAGAGACGAAAGTACTTTTTAATATTAAAGTAGGCTTCACGACCAGCGCTTTTTGTAGGGACTTTGCGAATATATATCATTTTAACATTACCTGGCACTCACCACTGTCACCGTGCAATGAAGGCGCGCGGCTGCACGGTCATTGCACTATCTGCTCCCGTGCACCACACCCGACGAATGCATGCGCACGGTACATAGTGATTTTAGTCACTTTTATTGCATGTAAAGTATTAAAAAAACTGAAAGTATATTATTCTAGCAAAGCAAAATATTAATATTTATAACATTTTAATATTTTGCCTTATAATAAATACCAGCGTTACAGTACCGTGCTATTGGCTAATATTTGGACGCAAGTAATTGGTTAAAACCATATAATGTGCTAACATACTTACAGTTTGCAAAATGGTGGGCCTTACGTGCAAGCAATGCGAGGCGAAGATTGACACGCTTCTGCTGAACCCGCAGCGGTCTACGACGGATACCCGGGCGCGCTGCGTCGGTTGCGGGAAGCTGCAGTACGGTTACGCGCTCCGTACAATCAGCGGACGGGGCAGCGTGCGGCACTGTATTGCCTGCAAGAACGGCCCAAAAGCGGTTAAGTTCTGGGAGGAAAAGCGTCCACCACCTAATTCGGCCGAAGTGCGCCGCCAGGAAAGCCTGCCAAACGTCGAAAAGGTGATGGGCCCTGACTGGTACCTCAAGAAGAAAAATAGACACAGCCGCCCTCGCAAGCTGACCGCCCGAAACGTCAGGTACATTGAGCAAAAGAAGCAGCAGAAGAGCAAGTAATTGGTAAGTATACCCTTTTAGCCCCTTACCCCGCATAGTTTTGTATCCAGGCTGACGGTGCAAGGCTTGGGGTCGCACATACTGTAAGCGGACTGTGGCGCCACCAAGCGTGTTGACGCGCCTATAGAGCGTAGCGCGCTTCAAAATATAATAAGACATGGGATAAACTGTGCACCGCTGCAAGTGGTGGTTCCTGTCCGCATTCACGTCACCGCAGATGGCACGTACACTCGCTCACGTGGACACACGCAAAACCATGCTATCTGTACCATCAGCTCTTATAGCGTATATTGCACTAATTGGCGCTCACAATTTAAACCACAGTATTGAGTGGGAACTACGTGCGACGAATAAGCTGCTGTTTACATAGATACTACCACTGCGTGACAGTGCAGACCGTACAGATGGACGTGGCAAGTCGATGTGGCTGTAAGCAGTACTGTACTTTAGTGCCCAGCCCACAATGACCGAAATAAGAGCTCGGTTGAGTCGCGGATGACTATAAGGTGTGCCCGCCTCGCGCGTGTATATCGCTTTGGCTACTGCTAACAGACGCGCGTTCAGCATACCTGTATCGCTGCGGAATGGCCTGTGCCCAGTTAGTGACGCGCTTGATTATACAGACTAAAACATCAATAGCGTAAGCACAGAAAGCTAGCACGACGACGCAAAAGTCCCGATAAAGAAACAGTGACCCCATGCATAGGTTGGGCTATCACGAGCGCGTGGCTAATACACTCATTAGCGACCTTGCGATATATGCACGGACACATCAAATAGCACGCCGAGCCGATAAGTAGGCAGCGAAAGTACTCTATCTAATGTACATATACTATTATTCAGATTAAGTCTAAACATCACTACGATCTGATACTCTGCCTACAGCCATATATCTTCGTATATTGCAGCCGGTAAAAAGAATGTGCACGCAGTTGGCCTCTTCGTCCGATCTGGACGAGGCCTTTTGTCGTACATATCGGACCCAGTATAATGTCAGTCGGAAAGGATTTACGCCACTCTGTTAGCCAGTAGCTATACAAATAAGTCAGAAATACTTATTTGTAAGTATTTCTGACTTATTTGTATAGCTACTAGTAAGATAAATGCATGCGGAAGATAGTAGAAATACCCTTCCATAATATCACAAACAGCTCAGCAGAATAACTTCAAAACATAATATTGATGTTTGTGGCGACCATCGGCAAATACTACCTATCCTAAAAGATACTTCGCGCGCGGAGCTGATTAACATTGCTCTATTCGACCGTCGCAGTCGATGATATGTGTCGACTGCCTCACGGCGATGATGTACAGATGGGTAATATGTGTGAGTAGGCGTATTTACTCTAGCTACACTGGGATTCCTCACCGATCTACGCATATTTCGTAGCATCATTGATACTGACCCGTCTTCCGTACAGCATATATTAGCTTTGCAACCACGCGCGCCTCCGATTCGTGTAATTTTTGAAGCAATGCGCTCAAACGAGATTATAGACAAAACCTTCCCGGGTAAGATGGTGCTCTTCTTGCAGCTCACGTTAAACCCTGGTCGTGTCTACCATAACATGTGAGCACTAAGGATACTGTCTGCGGTGTTGTTTTGAGCCGTAATATACGTAGCTCACAGTATACATGTACTATATGTTGCTTCGCTTTGAGTACAAATTCTAAGCCTACCGCAGCGCAGCGGAGGTGGTCGGCCCTCTCTACACCAACCAACCATGCCCTAGCGTCCGCGGAGCGGGCGCCCAGAGCGCTAGTCAGACTCTCGCCTATACGATACGTAATAATTTGTATTAGAATTCGATTTATAAAAACTCAGCACAATCTTTAATAACGAAAAGGAGAGGAGCGTGGACACACACAACTAATTTTCATTTCAGAGTTGTCGGCAAATTTCGCCACTCTTAGGGCCGTTCTTAGCCGATTTCTTGCAAGTGGATGAGAGTTAAGGTGGGCGGTACTTTTTGTGCTTGATTCGGCTAAGAACAAACTTAAAACTGGTGGATGGCCTTAGTGGCTAAGGTTGAAGGAGGGGTGGTTGACATCTAATATTAGCTTATAACTGCGATGTATCACTTTGATCGCTTTGCATTTGTTCTCTTCCACTATCGCAACAAATGCGCACACCCAGCGAGATCATAGCGATCACTCGTCGTCTTCGCGATCGAGCCAACGTCCAATGGCGATAGATTGACAGGGGACCGTTGGTTGCTGATGTGGACTGAGTGCTTCAGGAGACTTGATGGAATGAGCTGTATAAACTCAATGTGTCGTTCTATCCCGTCAGGTATGTCTCTCCTCCCGTCCACCTTCCGTCCACGGCCACCAACCCTAATTTCACACAGTGGACGTGGATCAAACGGACCATACGGCGTCCACTGCCATATGGATCCAAGTGAAATGATTGGGCCATGGAAGCATAATCCACCGTTATTTTTTGGCTAAGAACGGCCCTTAGTGTGATCGGCGGTCATTATAGCAGATAAATGGTACTCTGTTCAGCTAGTGTCGACTATATCACGATGTTGAGTAAAACAACAAAGGCAAATACGGTATGCGAAGAATTTACCGTGCACGTTGAGACTGCAGAAGCCGTACGAGCTCTATGTGCTCTTCACGTCCAAGGAGCGAAATACCGTACATGTGAAGTACGTCCGTGGAGGCACAAGGTAATTGGTTGCCAAGCGAGTCGTTGCTGTCGCTTAAGCGACGTAGTCTATCATGTTTCACAAACCTTTATACAGAATGTTGCTTAGAGGGTCGGAATTATATTTACTTTAACCGAAATTGTTTTTTTTAAAAGTCGATTTTAGCTCTTTTAAAACTCTGTTTTAGCAAAGAGGTAAAAATATCTGAAAAACACAAAAGGTTGTACGAAGTACATCACGAAACAGTATCAGTTTTTCCACTGCAAAATTGGACCTTGTTGGTCAACAAACACACCGCACCAAGCGGGTACTACATGTATCATCTGTACAAAAAAGTAAGAGTAGTGCTCGTCTATTGTAGTGTATGATCCACCTACTTACCTATTAGTACGCTGCAGTATCGAATCCGTAACATGAATCCAGCACAGACAGCACATCCATTCGAATTCCCAAATAGAACATGCGTCTTCGCAGTAATTGCGGTGCAAAGTTACCCGGCAGAGGCGTCGCGCCGAAGCCAATCAGGCATTCCATGGGGAATTCTCCATTATAACTGGTGGACGTGCCGCCATTCGGTCGACGGTTTTGCCTTGGCGTGATGTTTGACGGCGTGGGGTTGTACAAAACGTTTGCCGACGCTTTGCCTCGATTCTCTAGACCCTCAGGGAACGGATCCAGCAGCGCCTTGCCATTCACATACAACAGTTCAGGCGTATCATCTTTCACAGGCATAAAGTGCGCTAGACTCCCGCATAATGAGTCCGAGTGTTTCTTCATATCTTCGTTTCGAGACGATTCAATGACACTAGGACCCCAGGGAGAAAAGAAATACTCGTGTTTCGCCAACGCATAGGCGATCCAGAACGTTTCCTTGTCTCCAAACGAGAACTCCCGCTCAAATCGCTGCACCGTGACGAGCCAGAACATGACCGTCATGGCTTGACCCGCTCGTGATTTATCCACTGCCACTAAGGACGAGTCCTGTTCGTGAGAAGCTTCCCCTCTGTACGCATAGCTGTGCTCCAGCGTATCCGGAATCTTGGCGCCTCCACTCAATCCGAACGCAGCGTAGTCGAACTCGTTCAATAGAGTCTTCAAGTACGTCGAGTTCTTCACTTCCTGGTTGAACCACTCGTTACTCAACAGCACGCGGTCGTAGAAGAACGTGGTACCAGTTCTCTGGTACCCTTCTGTGGTTCGTAACACTGCTGGGTCTCTCAGGAAGACGTCGTCCACATCCATAAGCAGGACCTCTTTGATGTCTGTATAGAACAGAGCTAAGGGCTTCAGCCACCAGTTCCGGAACTTGTCCGCCGTCTCGCGCTTCATCACGCCTTGATCCACAAATTTCGCACAGACGTCCACGATCTCGACTCTGGCGTCCGCTTCTAACAACATGGCGCGGTTCTTTTCCGACATTTCATCCGGAAAGCAGTGGTACACTTGGATGAGCTCCTGATTGCCCAGACATCGAAGCTCTCGGATCAACGACAGCCCCATGGGGACCGCAGAGTTGTGCATACACATGACGATGCCTCTGTCGCGAGATACCGAAGCGTCGAACTGCTTTACGACATTCTTCTGCTTGCGCTGGTGGACGGTCGACGTGAACCAACGTCGTGATGGGCCCCCCATGGAGCTTAACAGACTCGAGAGCAGCGTCGTGGACGCCACCGCCACGCAGCATAGTACGCACAGCAAACGCTTGTAGTTGACTGCCCCACTCCGTGGTCGATGCATGGGGAGAGCTCGTTGGAGGAATTGCCACGGATGCGCGCCGTGTAATAATAGCTGTGCGGTGGACGCGCATACTTGAGGCAAAATTAATCACAGTGCCGGGCCTGGTCCGGAATACGGATCACAAGACGACAATTTACTGGCGACAAAAGAGGTCTGTGTTGCATTACAAAGTGTCATTACTCCCGTACAGCCCGTTTTGCTATAATTACAGCCCTGTATTAAAAAAAGCCGTATGTATTGGTTCTATACCGTAAACGGTATTACAGTACTGTATATACCAATAATAATATGCCTGGTCCCCGACTCGCAGTCTCCTCTTCACTCCAAGTCGATGAGAGCGTCCAAGTTAAAGGACCTCGAAACAGGTCATGGGTCTTTCAAACCAGAGACTTCGCTCTGGCGTCGCGCTGGGCTCTTCTTACTGTACTGCGGCGGGATAGTATACGTCTCGAGTCTTCTGTTGTCCAAAACGGTAATCCATCCGCCTCTCTTCCACGCTCGCGGTGCCAAGTTCGACCGCAGCGTTGCGCGTGACAAGGCCATCGTGCTGTGTATGCACGACAGTGTGGTTCCTATGGGGCTGTCGCTGGTCCGAGAACTGCGCTGCCTCGGCAGTCAGGAGCTCATCCAAGTGTACCACTGCTTCCCGGACGAACTATCGGCCACGTCTCGAGACAAACGTTTTGCTGCAGACTCGCGACTGGAGATCGTCGACGTGTGCTCGGACCTCGTCGAGAGTGGCAAGCTGGACGAGGAGACAGCCAGACACTTCCGCAGCTGGTGGATCAAACCATTGGCTCTGTACCACTCGAACGCCCCCGAGGTGATGCTCCTAGATGTGGACGACCTATTCATGCGCGATCCGGCGGTACTACGGACCACGGAAGGCTACAAACGCACGGGTACCACCTTCTTCTACGACCGAGTGCTCCCGAGTGACCATTTCTTCAACCATAAAGACGAGAAGAACGTCTCGTACTTGGAGAACGTGCTGCATACCTTCGACTATGCGAGTATTGGCGTAAAAGAAGGATATGAGCCGAGTGAGTATTTGAAGCAGTCATTTGCGTACAGAGGCGAAACGGCACATGAACAGGACTCGTCGCTGGTTCTCGTGGATAAATCACGAGCCGGACAGGCGATGGACGCGCTGTGGTGGCTCATTACGAAGGAGCGCTTCAAGAACGACTTTTCCTACGGCGACAAGGAGGCGTTCTGGCTTTCATTCGAACTTTCTAAGCAGGACTATTTCTTCTCTCCCTGGGGAGTCAGCGTTGTGGACTCGTCGACCGATAGGGACTTGGAGCGCCACAACGACTCGCTCTGCGGTAGTATCGCGCACTATATGCCGATCGAGGACCAAGAACCCGAGTTCCTATACGTTAACGGTAAAGCTTTACTGGATCCGTTTGCGGAGGGACTTACGAGTCACCACACTGCCACGACCAACGTGCTGTACAACACCAACCCAACTCACATTTCTCCACGTCAAAGGCGATCTCCGAACCGTGAGACCAAGTCTGGCTTCACAGGGGGATGGCCCAACGAGTGTCTGCGTGGGTTCGGAGCCGTCCCACTCCCAGACAACTTTGCACCGCAACTTCTACGTCGACGAATGTTTTACATGGGCACCCGGATGGACGTACCCGGCGCACTGCAAGCATGTTTTCCTTTCAATGGGTAAGCGCGAGGTCACCGGCAATTGCGGGAGTAACGAAATAATAGATGCACATATTTACGATGGTCTTGCTGTGCTCTGGAGCAGTTGCTGTAGCATTTATATCGCTTCCTGTTTGTTTGGACAGTAACCAGTCGGCTTTTGTCTTTTTCGATATGTTCATTGTCGAGCCGATCTTTCGGTCGATTGCCCGTGGGAACAATGACAAAACGGAAAGGCTGGTGTCCAGCTAACTACTGTACATGTACCGTTTTTTGAAGCGTAAGAGCTCATCAAAATTGTCAGTCCGTAGAACCTACGGACTGGCAATTTGATCTACTGATCCACTTCCACACAATGTGATGCTATCACGGTCGACACAAGAAGAAGTAGTGGACTTCCCTCTATCCTAGCGTGTGCTACATGTAGCTAGCAAATATTCCGTCGTTGGGGTCACTTCTCTCGCCGCACTAGAGCATCCAGCAAACACAAATTTAGGGAGTAAATGTCGTCTTGGAAGGATGGACGGCGCAATACTTTCGTCTTCCGATAATGAGTGGTTATCTTCTTAGGGATAGGGTATCCTATACTTGGTTGCACTAAGTGTGAAGACGGACCGTCGTGAATAGGTAAAACCTATGTTACGGAATAATTATATGTTAAGTGTGCGGTCTACACTAACGTTGTAGAGACACCATGGAGCCACCAGGACTGCAGGTCGAACTCGAAGAGAGCGCGCATGCGACACTGGACCGCTGTCGTGAAGCACGACCGGCCAACACGATACGAGCGTATGCACCGAAACAGCGAGAATTTAAGGCATGGTGTGAAAGAAAAGGTTTCCACGAGACTACTCGGTACCAGGTTACTGCAGCCAAAATGCACTTGTTTCTTCAAGAAGAAGTGGTCGATCGACAAGTCCGCACCAAAGGTTCAGCCCGCAAAGTTAGTGTTGCTACAGTAGAAATGTACGTGAATGCAGTCTCAGATTTGTACAGCGATCAGCAAAGCCGAGGGGCGAATTCGCACCCGCATCCTCGCAACAGTCTCATTAAAGGGTTGTTGACGTCGCTGAAGCGGGAAAGCCACGCCAAGAACAAGCGAGAGTATGCGGATCGCGGAGTTGGTTCGCTGTTAGATGAATATTGCACGACGAATGATCTCGTTTCCATTTCTCGTTACTATATGAACCTAAATACTGGCAGTGACTTGCGCAACAGAATGAGCCATTTCCTTTGCCACGCGTGTCTTCTAAGAGGTGAATCTGCGCGTAATGTAGATTTACCAGACTTGTTCAGCGTGATATTGGAACATGAAGGATTTACAGAGTGTCGAGCGTTAGTGATGATCATGGAACAAGGCAAGACAAATCAGTTTGGGCGACGTGAATTTGGGTCTTGTATTAGACATCGCAATGTGGAGGTGTGTCCTGTAGGTGCCCTCGCTCTGTATCTCTTCTGGCGGTGGTCTGTACAAAAGGAAGCGGTTTTAGATTTTTTAGTGCCTGAACGATGGTACGACATTAAGCTACTCAAGTCAAACAAAGACATCACAACTCCAATGACATACCGTGCGCATTACGACGCTACCGTTAAAGCGTTTTCTGCGCTAGGGATGCGCTCGAAGGCCAAGACCCATGCTGCTCGAGGGTCAGGTGCCAGAATGGCTGAGCTGGCTGGTGCTACGGAATCACAGATTAGACGATTAGGAAGATGGAATGCATCTGCAGTGGAGGGATGCTACCTGAGCGCTTTACCACGCGAAGCTATGCGGTCTCTTGCTGGATTCCCTCCGGATAGGCGCACATTTTTCTTGGATCGAGCGGCAATCGATCCCCCAGAATGTCTCCTGCGCGACGTGTTTCCGTTTGTTGAAACCTACATGGCAGCTTACATGCAACAGTCAGCACCACACGTAGCATCCGGAGGGTTTCTGGAGTTGTTTCTATACCTTCGGCAACAAGATCAACGAGATCAGTACATCAATTAACCATATAGCGACAGCATTTTCACGACTTACATCGGGGTCTTCAGCGGTCCGTCTTACTGTTGACTGGGGATCAGCACAATCATCAACTTCTACCCCTGTTGCTGCGTCTCAGCATGCACCATTGCCTCCAACTTACAAGTTAGTGAGATCCATAAAAACAGTGCAACAAGTTTGGCAAGAATGGACGACCGGTATCCATGGAGGTCCAGCGGTACGCGACCTGGAGGAGCGCTACGGCTCAAACTGGCGCAACAGCCCCGCAGAAAAACGTTTCTTCTTTCGTCGTAAGCGAATTATTGATCGTGTTACTCTGGTGGCACAACAACAGCATGTTAGTGAAGCACAGACAGTGTGCATTCTCGAGGGTCAACGTACACAGTCTCAGCTTACTCTGAACGCGTTGAGTGAGAGTTTAAAAGGCCGGCAGTAATCTGTCAAAGGCACGAATACATACAGTAATTTGTTAAAATAACATTTGTACGCGTCAGCGGGATACCACAAACTCAAACCTTTAACGCCATACATAACTCCCTAATTTACCTTCGTGTATGCCTTTCTTGGTGTACTGCATGTCATGTCGACCGCACAGTGCCCCAACGACTCAATCGCCTTCTTGGTTATCACCTACCAGAGCGAAGTAGCCTCCCGTCTCGTACTCTCCATGTTGAGCTTGAGCAGCTGTCTCCACCACCTCTGCAGCGACGGATCCGACCTCCACCGACGTGTCGATGTCGTCTGTCTGAAGCTTCGTCTCCGCAGGCACAGCAGCCTCCTCCAGCACGTCAGGTGCCGTCTCCGTTGTCTCCGCTGCACGGCTATCATCACTCACCACGGGCTCCATGGCAATCGCTGCACCACTCACCACGTCGGTGACCAGATTCTCCATGGCCGCCTCCACGTCCGGGTCTGCCACGATCGTCTCGGTCGCTGGCTCCAGGACCTCCGGTTCGTACACGCTGATAGCAGCGCCTTTCATCGCACTCACTGCATCTACGATCTCTTCTACCACGGCGACGGTCTCCACCACCTCTGCAGCGACGCATCCGACCTCCACCGACACAGCCTCCACGACGGGTTCGGGCGCGTCCGGCACCCTTGATACCTGCAAGAGCTCGTCTCCTTCCGCGCCCATTTCCGGCTCTGTCTCGACAGCACCTATCGTTTCTTCAATTACACCCGCAGGTTTCGCCACAGTCCCCGTCAGTGTCGTCGCTACCGCCAGTGCTACCGTAGCCGCCACCGTCGCAGCCACCATCCGCCGCCCAAGGGGCCATCACCTCCCACAAGAACGACGGAGTCTTTCGCCACGTCGGAATTTTTTCTGTTGTGTCTTTTTTTCTGTCAGTCCGGATGCAATCCAGATAACTGCTGTTATCAACTGCCATCCACTTCAGATAGTTGCCTATCTGGAGGGACGGGCCAGGGACGAGATGGTGACGCAGCAAGGGACGGCATCTCTCGTCCACTTTCGATAATGTAGATTCTATCGAGTTGAGTCGACACCCTATCGATTCCTTTAATCAGCCACACTCCTATGAACTGCATCACAACTTGAGATGGAAATCAAATTGGTGTCACTCTTGATATTGCTCTTTTCCTTTTATGCAGAAATTCCACTGCTTGTAGAACTTTTCTCCATACATTACCTTGTTCTCAAGTTCAGCTCTTTGACCCTCGAGCCAAATAGTTCAATAACGACCCGTTGGCTGCATCTTCACGCACCAGAAGAGGGGAGGCGCTCAAAATTACCCACATCATCACCGGCTTATGCGCTTTTTATGTAAAAAAAAACTTAGCATAAGCTTCGGGTAAATATCTGAAACAACGCCACACACGGAAGCTTACTGTAATTAAGTTGCATAAGTAAAGACTACTTAGGTATCTCTTTCTACGCAGACGTCGATTTACTACGGTATTGTTTTTCTATCAGCCGTGCCAATAATTATTCTGAATAAATGATGAGAGGGTAGTTGTATCCAGTAGACTGCATATGATGTTTGAGACGTACCATATTAGAGATAGATATTAAGTACTAGAGGGGTTTTCTCAACCAACTGTTTGGTTGAGAGTCGTTGGTCGGGGAGACTAGCAGACTTTGCTTTCTCCCCGCCAGCCCTCAGACGGTCTTCCCCCCCCCCTCCTCTCCAGGGCCAGTTTATTACACTGGTAGCACTTGTTGGTCTAGACTCGCCACCCTTGGTCCCTGCTACGCGCAAGAACGACCATGACGCGCTACCCACGGGAGCAGAGATACAAGCGGAGTTGGAAGCACAGCTCGCGCAGCTACGAGCCGAGATGGCAGCACTCCAAGCTAAAAACCAAGCGCAACATTCTCCGACCAACGCCAAACCTCACGCTCCAAGCTGTCTGCCCATGCTCAAGGAGAAGGCGTGTTCCAGTGGCTCTTCCAAGTGGAGACACTATGCCGAATCAATGGTCACGATGCGACGGACGACAAGTACACGCTGCCTTCGATCGCTGGGACAGCGATGCAGGAAACTGCGTCAGGATGGCTCCTGTTCTGGACCTCAAAAACGCCTGCGGGCGAGCAGACGTGGCGTCGGTTCACGGATGACGCCCTCGCACACTTTGAAGCCTCCAACTATCAGGCGGTGCTGCGGCAGAAGCTACGTGAACTCCGCCAGGTCAATGACATCGAAGCGTACGATGGAAACTACTCGTCGTTGATCTTCCGCGCTGAAGACATGAGTGAAGTCGACCAAGTCAGCTACTATTGTGATGGCCTCAAGCGGGCGACACAGGTCTACGTCAATCTGCAAAACGCGGCAACGCTGAGTGAGGCAATGGACCAAGCTGCCAAGTATGAGATGACTCATTTCGGTGGTGAACGCAAGCTGGCTCGTGAGAAACCACAGCGTGATTAACCGTCACGTGGACGGGTGATATCTAATCAGTCGAACGACAAGAAGCTGTTCAGCAAAAAGTTCTTTAAGCCCGGCCAATACGCCCCTGTGGAACAGACCAAGGAAGGACTGGTGCGCTACTATTGCAAGAAGCCAGGACACTTCAAGCGTGACTGCAAGAAGCTGAAGAGCGACGAGGGAGATGAGCCGCCACGCCAGTGAAAGAGAGTCCTGACGTGGCGAGGGTTAGCGAAGAAGATTTAACCGTAAACGAAGATACGTTAAATCTGCCTTGCGAAGACCCTCTCGGCTATACTCGGGCACCGTTGTTTTTGATTGAAGGATCAATGGTACAGGATGGAAACAACTTCGCTACCAAGTTCCTGTTGGACTGCGGTGCTTCGACCGTCTACGTATCACGTGGATTTGTCAAGAAGAATAAGCTTAAGTCACACATTTAGCCTGATCGGACCATTAAAGTAAAGCTTGGTGACATCAAGATCGAAGAGTCTACTCTGGAGTTGGTGAAAATTAAGATCCGATTCCATGGAGACCCGGATTATTAGTGTGTTGCGGTTGTCTTTGCCATTCCCGTGTGGTGTTTGATGTTGTACTCGGGACGTCATTCTTTGTGGATAAATATCCGGATATCGACTGGAAGAATCGATGCTTCAAGAGATACGTATCAGCTGGAGCCTCAACGGCGGACATTTCGACTCCCTGTGGGAAGTGCAGTCCGGTTAATGACTCGAGGCTTCACGATGCTGTGAATAGCGAAAGATCTTCCGCGATAGGCCGTGATTCCAGTCGAGCCGCCGTGCCAGAAAAACAGTTGGAGGGCGAAGTTGAAGACATTAAAAGACCAGCTGAGGGCGTGAAGAATATCCCAAAGCGTGAGAAGAAGAGCGCCAGAGCTGAATCAATGTTTACTCTTGGAGTTGCTGACTCGGAAGAAGTTGATACCAAGTACATCACAAAGAAGAAGCTATGGAAGTGCTTACAGCTACCTGCGAATGACCAGCCAGAACATGATTTCATGGTTGTGCTGACGAACGTTACGATCAGAGAGATCGAACGAGACCTCAGGAGGAACGATGAACCTGAAACTTTG